TGTTAATAGAAAACGTGATCATTGGGGAGTTTTGGATGAAGCCGCTCAAGTTGAAGTTTTGGGTCATTTTGGAAAAAATTACAATACTTCATTACGCAACATTGTTGGTATTTCATTAGGCTCTGTACACACAGTTAATAAAATTCACAATTTTCATCACTTCAAAATGAAAATATTGCAAGAGTTAACCGAAGATGATTTCGATAGGCGACTTGAGTTTTTGTAAATAAATTCATGTAAAGAATACGTGCTTCAGTGATGAATCCACATTTTATCTAAATTGATTTGTTAATAAGCATAACTGCAGGTTTTGGAGCAATGAAAATCCTCATGCTCTTGTAAAAGGGCATACCCAGTACCCTCAAATAATTAATGTACGGGCAGGCATTTTAGGAAACAGAGTGATTGGGCCATTGTTTATTAATGGAAATGGAGACATTATTTGGATATATTGGAAAATACCATCAATCCGCTTATTACTGAAACCATTCCAGCAAGACGGCGCTCCTCCTCACTATGTTCGGCAATGGCTAGACGACGAGTTTCCAGATAAATGAATGAGGCGAAGAGGGCTTATAGAATGGTCTGCTAGATCTCCTGATTCGACGCCATTACAATATATTGTGTTGAGTCCCCAACCTGAAAGTTTGGATGAACTTCGTCAACGCATCATCGAAAGCTGACATGATATCCCACATGTTCTTAAAACTCGCCGTCAGGAATTTAAACATTGCTGATATCATTGTTTGTTAACAACGGGCAACATTTTGAACACTTATTGAAATGACAAGTGATGTTTTTGTTTTCTGTCTGGACAAATTAAGATAAATAAAGATTTTTCTAATTTTCTTGAAAACGAATCGACCGATTTTAAAAAATTAATCGTGAAAATGAAAGACTTCGAAAGACCTTTCATACAAGCTATCAATCGTTACTCTTTGTCATTTGAAATTTTTGAGTAGATGACTCTGGGGACGGAGACTGAAAGGGGTGAAGTAGTTTTTAGTTAACAAGTTGGCCCCTTGACAAATCTTTTGACGTGTCTCCGCATTTTTTATTTTAAAGTTTTCAAATAAACACCCTGTATGTGTGCTTTCAAAAATACATTTGTGGGAACCATCTCACAATAAAAGACTTCGACGGTATAAATTCGAGATGGAGCATTTAAGTTCAGTTGAGTCGCAATGTTATTAGCATCAAGTTGATTGCGCAGCAGTTTATGCAAGAAAATAATTGATGGACTTGAAACCTAGACGAGAACAAACTTCCAGATACCCCTCACACAGAATGTGTACCATCAACCTTGAAAGATGAGAATCAATGTAGCAGGTGCAAATTGGCTTCCCAATTAACGATGCATGTTCCAATATAGATCTAATATATGGAGAATATAAAATCAACATTGGCTCTGGGTGCCTAAAGCTTCTGCAGTTTCTCAAACTAAAGCCGTACGCGCGTGTAGCTTCACTCACCTTTTCAGCTATATGGAGGAAAAATTGAGTTCAAGGTAAAAAAGTATACCCAAATTGTTAATTGAGCCACAATGATTTATGTAAGCATGCCCAATCTTGTAATCAAATTAACAAACAGATGTTTTCCTGGAAAAGCTTAATGGGTACACTTAGACGCAGTAAAGATAAATTATTGACGACTCACTAAGCTAATAAAGCATCGATATCCTGCTGAAACGCAATACAATCAGCCTCAGAGTCACTAATGTTGGATAATTTGGATCATCCGCAAAGAAGGGCTTATTACAGCTTAAATATTGCGCAATATCATCAGTAAATTAGGTAAGCAATAAAGCACCAAGCTTTGAACCCTGAGGCTCCGCCGATTTAGTTACATACTCGTACAGGTACGACTTGAGGCCAAAATAACACATTGCTTCCTTTTGTTAGGATAAGTTTGAATGAGTGCTAAAGCTGATGAATGGAGTCCATAATGAGAAAGCATATTCAAAAGCATGCCATGGTCCACCCTATCGAACGATTTAGCAAAATCAGTATACACTACATTTAGATCTAGCTCTCTTCATGTAGATGAAGGTCAAATCCTAGGTTATTACAACACAGTAAGAGAATCTTCTATGTGAAGTGATATTGGCGTGTGTAATTGGTTTAACTTCGAATTAATCATAATAATAATAAATAGCCTTTATTCGTCAAATGATTGCAAAATAATTGGCTTAATAGGAATAGTGACGAAAAGGTACGCTGTTTTTCAACCCGACCTAAAAACATTGACACAAACTATAAAAAAAAAATAACCCACATTTAAATGGCACAATTCACAACATTGACTACCAAAAAGACAAAAGCTTAAAATACTCGTATTACACTTCTCAGATAAAGGAAACGATCAATTACCCGTGAATATGCGTACTGTTAAATTCTAGCCATCCGATTGCTTTTAGGTCATCTTCAACCTTTTTTTGAAGTTACTTAAGCTATATTCTTTATACTCACTTGACAAGCAGTTATATATACTAAGTGACATATAAATCCGAACACCCAGTTTAAATGGTTATATTTTAATAAAATTTTGTATAAGTACTTAATGAAGCATAATAAGTAAATGATAAAAATTTCAAAATGATTGCACTGCTTTAAAACCCTTTGACCTTTAATAATGTGTGGATGCACCCTGATGTGCTACGCATTCTCCAACGCGCCTAGGCATGCTTCTGATCAGGTGGTCAATGTCCTCCTGTGGTATCTCATTCCAGGCAACCACCAACTCCTCTCGAAGTGCTTCTAGAGTCTGAGGAGGACGTTGCAAATTGAGCAATCTCCTACCCATCATATCCCACACGTGCTCAATTGGGGATAAGTCGGCAGATCTTGGTGGCCATGGTAACAATGTGACATCATTATGTTGAAAGAAGTCTATTGTGACTCTTGCAACATGTGGTCGGGCATTATCTTGTTGGAAAGTTGGATCTGCCAGGGTGTCAAGATAGGGTAAAAGATGGGGTTTTAGAACTTCGTGGATATAACGCTGCGCGTTCATGTTACCTCTGATGAAGATTAAAGGTTACCTGGAACCATAAGCTATAGCACCCCAAACCATAACTCCAACAGTGTGATGAACATGTCTTTCAACAAAAAACTGTGGATTCCTCCTTTCACCACGTCGCCTTCTAACCCTGGCACGACCATCGTGCATGCCTAAACAAAATCGAGACTCGTCACTAAAGACAATACTGTTCCATTCCTGATCCCAGAGTGACCGTTGTCTGCACCACTCAAGGCGATTACGTCGGTGTTCTCGAGTTAAAGGGAGGACCCAGTGTGGCCGGTATGAAAACAAGCCAAAACTTCTCATTCGTCGGTAAACACTTCGCATGCCAATAGGTCTTCCGTGTTCTGCAAACCATTCATTTGCAATGGACCTGGTAGTGGAGAAACGGTCCCTTAAGGCCAATAATCTTAGGCGGCGATCTTCACGGTCTGTTGTTCTACGGCGGCGTCCAGTGCTCTTTGCGTACGGCCTTCTCGAAGCCATGCCTGACAACACCTAATCACAGCGTCTACACTTCTTTGCACTCTAACTGTAATTGCCCGAAAAGAAAGTCCAGCTTCCCGAAGTCCCACTATACGGCCCCTATCAAACTCACTAAGTTGACGAAATCGAACAGGTCTCCGTACTCTAGGCATCGTAACCGATCGTAAAGGATGTCAAGAACCAAAATCCGCCAACGTTGATTCTTTGCTGCGGCTGAAATATTCATTTTTAGAGCGTTAGTGTATTAAAAAAGCAGTATAAAAACCGGAATGTTCAACTGATAAGGCTGAAAATTTTTTCACTTGTTATTTACTGTAAGATAAATACATTCACCAACTTTTATTAAAATAAAACCATTTAAACTGAGTGTTCGGATTTATATGTCACTTAGTATAGTTTGGGTGCCGAGTACGAGAAACTACGTGTGAACAATGCTCTCGAATGCCGCGGGATGAGTCAGATGCGTTTATTCCTAGAGAAATATAATATTAATGAGAAGGCTCTTATGTAAAAGAGGTAGGCCATGCAGTTTCCTTAATTTTTTCATCTTAAACCATCCAGATTGCTCAAAAGCGCCACTAATATGATCAAATTTATGGATTCCATAATAAAATCTGATGCATGAATTTTGTATCATCTGAATCCGCTCGGTATCACGTTGTAGCAGAGCAGATCCATAAACAGAGTCACCGTAAGATAATTTTGGAAGGATCAGGGATTCGCAGAGTTTAAGCTTGAGCTGTGTTGACAGGACACTTCGACTCAGGTATAACTGACGAAGCACATTATAGGACGCAAGGCATATTTAGTTAACATGTTTAGTGAAGCGTTGCTTGCAGTCAAATCAGATACCAAAGTAAACTCCCCGTTTGTGTTGAAACCTCCAGTTGTTGGTGAACCAATCGGTGCACAAGAAAGATGGCAGTTGCAGCAGCAGGTCCCGTGCTCACATTCAATCCCAAGGAGAACGAGTGAGAAGTTTTCTTCAAAAGGTTAGAGCAGTATTTTATAGTACACGGGGTCACTGAAGAAGCTGACAAGAGGACTCATTTGCTGTATAGTTTGTCTGAGGAGGCGTATATTTTATTAGAAAATTTATGTATGCCGCAAAAGCCGGAAGAAACCCCATACCAAGACATAGTTCAGTTATTGTCTAACTACTATGGTAAAACTGCTGTTGTATGGGTCGAAAGGCAGAAGTTTTATAGTGCATCCAAATCAGGAAATGAGACGGCACTAGAATGGAGTGTACGACTTAAAGGTTTAGCTCGCTATTGCAATTTTGGTCAGCAGCTTGAGTCCAAGCTAACGGACATTTTTGTTACGCAGTTCAATCCTGGGAAGGTGAGAACTGAATTATTCAGCCTAAACGAGAACACCACCTTAAATAACGCTGTTGAAAAGGCCAAAACTATCGAAGCAACGCTAGTAATAAGAGACCCAGTTGGTGAAGTTAAAAGCGAGGTCTTAGAATCCGATGTTTTTCGAATTACACAAAATAATTCAAATGTTGGTGCCACTGCCGATCAACATCAAGATCCTCAACGGTATCATAGAGCGACAGCAGTACCTGCAGCGCAGCGGAGCCAAGGAGGCACGCGCAGGAGTGGGGGAACAGCTCAAACATGGCGCTGCCGCAGCTACAGCCGTTCACATCGTCTGGTCGCTCTCCGGGCTGTTTCCGCTGCGGGAGGAACCACAACAGTAATGTATGCCCCTATAAGGAATATATTTGTAACTCTTGTCACGGTAGGGGTCATCTCAGTGTGGTGTGTAAAAAGAAAAAACAATCCTCACCTAAGCACGTTAAATATGTTTTTCCTAATAATGATATTGCTGAGGATTATACAGACGTTTTTTCATCCCCAGTTCTAAGTATTTCTAGCTTAGGAAGCAACAATGATGTGCCACTATATATCGATATTTTAGTTGAGAATGTCATGTTGAAATTTGAACTTGACAGTGGATCAGCTGTTAGTGTTTTGCCACTTCATGTTTACAAAACATATTTTGGTGCTCACGTCATGAAAAAAAACAAATGTTTCCTTGATTAATTTTTCTGGCAATAAGATCATCCCACTTGGCACAATCAACTTAAATGTTAAATTTAATTTCAAAGATAGCATCCTACGCTTTTTTGTTGTTGATGGTAACAATCCATTGCTCCTAGGTCGAGATTTTATTAGGAATTATAATATGGGATTTAGAGAAATTCATTATTTGAACAACGATGCTGTTGATGCTCTATGTAATGAGTTTCCTGACGTTTTTGCAACCAATTTGGGAAGGTTCAACAAGTGTAAGATCTCCATAAATATTAAACTTGATGCAAATCCCATTTTCCATAAACCTAGACCTTTACCATTTGCAATTAAAGGTAAAGTGGAGGAGGAATTAGATAAACTAGTCTCTAATGGTATAATATCTCCAGTGGAGTTTTCAGAATGGGGTACCCCAATAGTACCAATTTTGAAGGAAGATGGAGGAATAAGAATTTGTTGTGATTATAAGGTAACTATTAATTCAGCTATTCTAGTGGACAAATTTCCCTTGCCTAGAATTGACGACTTATTCACAAAACTGAAAAATGGAAAGCAATTTTCCAAAATTGATCTCTCATCGGCTTACAATCAAATAGAGCTCGAGGACTCTTCAAAAAAATTTACGACTATTTCGACTCACAAAGGTTTATTCGAATTCAATAGATTGCCGTTTGGAATAAACTGCGCTCCAGCACAATTTCAAAGAATTATGGAGCAGCTGTTCAATAAAATGCCCCGTGTATGTGTTTTTCTTGATGATATTTTAGTTACAGGTATCGATAAAGAAGATCATATTAGAAATTTGAAAAGGGTTTTACTTTGTCTTTCAGAATGTGGTCTCACTGTTAGAAAAGAAAAGTGTGTGTTTTTGGCTGATTCCATTTCATATTTAGGGTTTGTTATAGACGAGACAGGCCTACATAAAAGTGTAGAAAGAGTTAAGGCAATACGCGACATTTCTCCACCAGAAAATGTCCTACTCAACTTAAGTCTTTTTTAGGCAGTATCACTTACTATAATCGTTTCATCAGAAATCTCCCAGATATACTTCACCCTTTATATAATCTTTTGAAAAAAGATGTAAGTTCGTCATGGGATAAAACATGTCAGGATTCATTTGAGTATATTAAACTTGCATTATGTTCTGACGATGTGTTGGTGCATTATAATCCTGACCTACCAGTTACTTTGACTATTGATAGCTCGGACTATGGAGTGGGAGCAATTTTATCTCATGTTTTTGAAAATGATGTCGAAAAGCCAATTTGTTATGCGTCAAGAACTCTCTCGAAAAACGAATTGGCATACTCTATTTTGGATAAAGAAGCTACCGCGATTGTTTGGAGTATTAAACGATTTTACCAATATTTGTGGGGTAGAAAATTTACCTTGGTCACAGATAATAAGGCACTCATGTTAATTTTTGGACCTAAAACGGGTGTTCCAGTGATGGCAGCAAATACACTGCAGAGATATGCACATTTTCTGAGTGGCTGACTTCTTAAGCAGAATGCCGATTGAAGATGACATGTCTGTGCAACTGATCGACTTCCCCATTCATTTAAATTATCTCACTAATTCCGATTCTAGTATACCAGTCGATGTTAACAAGGTCAGAGAACTTAAATCCTCAGATTCAGTACTTTCTGAGGTACTCAATTTTGTTAAAAAGGGGTGGCCTGCAAGTCATAAAAGTAATGAATTGAAACCTTATTTCAGTAGGAAAAATGAAATCAATGTTGAAGACGATGACCTGCTTTGGGGACATCGACTTATCATACCATTTCAGTTACGAGAGGTGATATTGAAGGAGTTGCATGCTACCCATTTGGGAATTGTTAAAATGAAGTATCTTGCGAGATCTTACTTTTGGTGGCCGTCCTTGAATGATGATATTGAAAGTGTTAGTAAGCGGTGCAACATATGTCAACGCTTGCAATCATCACCGGCCAAGGCACCGTTACAATGTTGGCAAATACCCGAGGGCATTTGGTCGCGGATACATATAGATTTTTTTGAACCGAAGAAAAACAATTTCTTTTTGATTGTCGTTGATGCCTTTTCCAAATGGCTTGAAGTATTTCCGATGGCATCTGTTACCACTAACATGACTATTACAAAGCTGCGAGAACTTTTTTCTAGATTTGGATTGCCTAAGGCTATTGCAAGTGATAATGGTCCCCAGTTAGTGTCAGAAGAATTTAAACAATTTGCAAATGTTAATGGTATTAAACTAATAACTATTCCGCCTTATGAACCTCATTGTAATGGTGCAGCTGAGAATAGCGTGAAAACTGTTAAAAATTTTTTGAAAAAGGTTATTGATCAAAAGAACTGTAATTTACTATTAGCTCAATTCCTTATGACATATAGGAATACTGTTCACTGTTCTACTGGTTATTCTCCTGCTAAAGCATTTTTAGGTCGTTCGTTGAGAACTCGATTTGACATGCTTAGACCAAGCTCAGTCCAAGGCAATGAAAAAGTTGAACTTGAAAATGTTTACCAAAACATACAACGTTCTCAACGAAGAAACGCAAAATACTTCAGAGGAAATAGGAAAGTATGTTTTAATATTGACCAAATTGTGTTGGTTAAAGATTATCGCGATAAACAAGTAACTTGGTGTAAAGGACAAGTTGTTAAAATTTTAGGGAAAAACGTTTCCGTTGTTCGACCCCTAGATTCAAATTTCCTTTGGAAAAGACATACTAATCAGATCAGAGAACTAAATGATGAGTATTCGTTGGTCTACCCACCCTGCGTGGAGCTACCGCACACTGTAAACGTTTTTTCCAATAGTGATGGCGCCAGCAATACTTCTGCCGGTAGTTCGGTTGATGATGTGTTTGTGGATGCCGGAATCGCGGATAGTGAACGCGTGGATGTCAGTGACTCGGATTCTAGCTCCATTGGTGAACAGGCTGAACTTACACGACCCATACGTATCCGTAAGGTACCGGATAGGCTCCAATACTAACCATTCATTAATTGTTTCTTTTTTTTATTGTTACCCATCTGATCACTGTTAACAATTTTCGGGGGAGATGAATGTAGTATATTAAGTACGCCCCTGGTACCCCGAAAATTGCGCATGTACGATGAGTACTCTCACCGGAGATACGTTTAACACATAGTATGTCGGGGTTCCGGATTTGTAACAGTTACCGGTAATATATAATAAACCATTAGTATACTTCCGGGTATTATTGATACCAACTAAGACATTACAATAACAATGTGTCACTTTCATTTGTTCCGACCTCTATGAAATGGCAAAGTTCAAGGTGAAAGTCAAATTAAATGCCGCCACCAGGGGGCTGGGTAAAAAATTTTCTACGGTTTTGAGCAGCTAGCACATCGGCTGGAAGGCTGGCGGGTTATATTTCGAGCCATGGGTTTATTTAATAATCAGTTACCAGTACCAGTAGATAAGCATCCGGAACACCAGTGGTATGGTGTTGCTACAACGGGATAGACAAAAAGGGTTAAATGTAGTCTAGTTACCAGGGTTTAGCTCTCCACCACTACTACTACTAGTACTAATAAGCCCACATTCCTATTTTTATTCGCTTACAGATGCTGCATCACATATTCTGCGACTATGATTAGACATTCACAATTGTGGTCAGTTCATACTTGCCAGAGATTGTCCAAGATTAGCAATAATAGGGTGTATTCAAGATCATCGTCAGATAAATAAGCAGTGTTACTCTGTAGAGAACCTCACATTCAATTGGTTTCTTGGCCACTGATAACACTTTGTCGAGCTCATTTTATATGTATTTTCGACATTTGGTAGACTGAGTTAAGCCTTAATTCACGCACTGCTAGTTCGCAACAACCTCTGGGGCCTCTAAACGTAACCGTTTATGACCTTCAACAAACCCACAGCATAGTGATGTTAAGGGATCTTGGTGCATAAGCTCATTCGCTACATAGCCTCGAAGAAAGAAATTGGTGGTCAAATTCAAGGCCGTAACCAGACAAGCGTTTTTACTTCTCAGATTGAATTGTTGTGGTTGACCTTGAGACAACCTTTAAGGACTATGTGGTTTTATTTCGCTTTGTTTAAATTGTCTCTTGCACTTCGCCACTGCTGACTACGTGCAGAACTTGAATTTAAGGATATCTGCAATATCTTGGAATGGCTTTGAGGGTGTATACCGACTTGAAGCTTATTGCCATGTACACTTGTATAATGATGTTTAGGCCCCATTGTAGGTCTCCAGTGGAGACCCTTCACAGAGACCTCGACATCCGTTGCCTAAGGGTTATATCAAACAACAAGCGCAGCTACGTTATCGTCAAGCGGAATCGCATAGAAATCCTGTGTTCCTTGAGTTAGCAGATTACACATTCGAGCAAGTTCGCAATCAAAGAAGATCGCGACTCGCATTGTGAACAAAATTCGTACGACTTCAGATTTAACAAAAATTCCAATTTTCTTATAACAACCAGTCTCTAAACTAATTTTAGGATCGATTTAGAATATCCGTACATTAGTTAAAACAAAGCCTTGTCATACCGACGCACTTCCTCCTCTTTGCGCTCCATGCTCGCTATTCGTCATTTCTTTGTTTGGGCGGTTCGAAGGACCTTTGCCCATTAGTCACTGTCTAATGTTAGTCGAAGCTGTCAGTCCTGGTTGCCCAGAAACCAGACTGTCAAGGAA